CGCCCCTCTCCAGTGCGCAGTCGGCACCCCAGCAGGCAACGAGAAGCTCTTCAAGGCCGCCGAGACCTTCATCCAGAGCCGGAGGGAGGGCGAGAAGCGACTGCTCACGACGCTGGATTGCACGAACGCCTTCAACGAGGTGGACCGTCAGGCGATCGTCAACGAGCTCGCCAGCCAGTTCCCCGAGCTCTTTCACTTTCTCTGGCAGTTCTATGGAGAGCCGGCGGAGCTGTGGTATCGACTCGCAGACGGCAGAGTGAGGACCATCCTGAGCCAGCAAGGCACTCAGCAAGGAGACCCGGCCGGCCCCTTTCTCTTCTGTCTGGCCCTCCAGCCAGTACTCAAGGCCATCCAAGCCAGCTTTCACGCGCCCTCATACAAGCCTTCATGGACGACATCACACCGGGGGTCGACGAGAGCGAGGCAGATGGGGTGGTTGACAAGGCGGAGGAAGAGCTGCAGACCATCAGCCTCAAGCTGGCCAGGAAGAAGAGCAAGGCGTACGGCCCCCACTGGACGGACAGCGAGCCACCACCGGACGACCTGCTGCCTGGCTTTGAGAGGGAGGGGCTCTCGGTGAGGGCATTGACATCTTGGGCGGGGCAACAGGGACGGACAGCTACTTCGCTAACAAGCTGCAGAGCGTCCTCGACTCCCACCGCCCCCTCATCGAACGACTCAAGGCGTTGGCACACGAGCAGCGGCAGGACTCATCGCTCCTCTTCCACTCTTGCGCAGTCCCACGGCTGTATTACTCGCTTCGTCTCCTTCCCCAGCGCCCTTCAACCACCGAGGTCACGGCGCTACTGAGGGATGAGGAGGTCATGAATGCAGCCATCGCCATCCACGGGCTGGGAGAAGAGGACACCACCGGGCCGCAGCGACGACAGATGGCGCTATCAGTGAGAGAGGGGGAATGGGCATTACGACGGCGAGCGCCATCCTGCCTGCTGCATATCTCGGCTGCACCACTGTGACGCTACCCTACGTGTCAAGACACTACCAGCTGGCGCCATGGATGCCATAGGGGGAGGGAGGGGGGGATGGAGGGAGTGATGGAGGGGAGAACGGAGCGGCAGCATTACTGCAGCTGCCATGGCTACGGGCAGCGGAGTCGGCAAGAGAGAAGCTACTGGAGAAGCTGCCGGAGACGGAGGTGCCCACACTGGCCAAGCTGCTGGAGGGACGCACAAAGCCACGGCTGCAACACGACCTGACGGCCAGCCTGATGCGCATCGAAGCAGACGCCCTGCTGGACGAGTTCGGCGAGGAATCAAGAGACCGCGCTTGGCTGAGAAGCTGTCGAGGCCCAGGAGCTAGCGGCTGACTGACGACGGTCCCGGCGCACCCGGGCTTGCGCTTCACCAACGAGGATTTCGTCACCTGCTGCCGTCTGAGGATCGGCGCCACCCAACACCCTTCACTCGCATCGGACCTCTGCTCGTGCGGCACCCAGCTGGATCCCTACGGCGACCACCTCCTCTGCTGCGGCACAGGCAACGAGCGCATCTGGCGGCACGACCTGCTGTGCGAGGAGTGGCGGCGCATCATCAGGAGCGTCCAGATCGCCGTCGACCGAGAGGTCAACCTGGCGCGTCTGGGCGTCTACCCGGCCACCACCGATCCAGACGGCAAACGGATCGACCTCTACTGGGTGGAGGAGGGAAAAGGCA